TGTTGTGAGGATTAAATGACTAAATAAAAGTAAAGTGTTTAGATTAATGCCCTGGAAGGAATATATTAATTTTTAGCTATCATTACTATTACCTCTACTACTATTATTATTGCTACAATAACTATTTTTACTACTGCTACTATTACAATATTCCCTTATTCAAGCATCATTGCTAAGGTATTTTTCAATGTTACCTTTCTGGTATACTGCTTCTGCAGAAATCCACATTCTACGCTAAATAGAAAAGCATATTATAAGACTCTGATATCAGACTGCCTAGGGTTAACTCCCAACATTTTCATTTATAACTGTATAACTCAGGTAATTTAAATGGTATTTTCTTGGTTTCTTTTTCTATAAAAATTGAGATAACAACAGTAACAATTCTTCACATGGGGTATAAGGAGGTTTAAGTGAGTTACAAACTACAGGTAAGAGCTCAGGGCAATATCTGATGCACAACAAGTGTGATATATATTTGCTATTGTAAAATGATAAATTAATGTTTACATGCCAGGTGCTATAAGCACTGGATAAACATTTTTAAATTTGTTCCTTACAAAATCTCTACCATACAGAAGGCAGGGGACAAACTTACAAAAGTAAATATCTTGCCCAGAGTCATAAGGTGCTATCATGTGGCACAACTGGAATGGAAACCCAAATATTTCTAGTTACCAAGTCTTTAAAATGACAAGGTGAAATACAACACAAAGAAGCTCCCTAAAATGGACATCTCATTCAGCCACTCTGAAGTCCATAAAAATGTTTACCTAATATTATAGAAATAACTCTTTTAACTACACCCAGATCTGAAAAACGCTTATAGACAAAAACAGGTTAGCTACAATTCTAAAATTAAAAATAACCAAAGGGAAATAGAGAATATTACATAGTACAACTTAACAGAATATTATGTAACTAAATATTATGATGTAATAGGGGAAGTTTAATTAGATCATTAATATTCAGAAAGGTTTTAAGTAGTTAAGAATATATACCTATATAAACATGCACATATGGAATAAGATACATAGAACTCTCAAAGATTAGGACAGTGACAGTGAAAATATATATATATATATATATATATATATATATATATATATATATATATATATTTTTTTTTTTTTTTTTAATCAAAAGGGAGTAATAATAAAGGCCCAGAGAGAAAAGACACTAAGAAACAGAAAAATTCAAGCCAGGTAGGAATCTATAAGGAAATTTGTAGAGGATCACAAATACAAAGAAAGTAAGATACATAGAAATCCAACAAAAGAGAGGTACAGAGACCCAGAAAAAGACTGATGGAGAACCACAGAATATAAATAACCAAGAGAGAAGAGAGCAGAAACTAGAGGCAGAGTTACAGAGGGAAAGGAAATTGGAAAGAAGTGGGTAACAAAGACCAAGAGAAAGAGACAAAACCCACAGACAGAAAAAAAGAAATCCAAAAAGGGAGACAGAGACTCAATAAAGAGCAGTGGAGAAAGACTGAAAGAAAATGACAAAAAGATGGTACGATTTCTAAAATTTCCATATACCTTTGAACTCATCTAACCTAGAACCTACCAGAACCTTTCATTTCTATAATCCTGAAACAATGAATTCTTGTTCCTTTTGATCTTTGCAATAACCTCAACTCATCCCCCTAATGTCTCCTCATGGCTTCATTTAGGCTCATATTCTTATCACTGATCTCCTTCCCAAAGCTTTCCCTTATGCTCTCTGAAATCCAAAAAAGAAACTGCCAGATAATCTCATTTTCTTCATGAAGGGTTCTTTTTACTGTCTTCCCCTAGACAAAAATCTGAATCTCACCCAAGGGTACTGGTTTCCTTATATCATTCTCAAATGAAGTTTGTTCTTACCCATCAAAAAATTCTAGGAACAGAAGGAAATACTGTCAAACTGTTGACCTTTTATTGTCCTGATCTTAAACAACATCCAGGCTTCTTCCTCCTCCAACTCCACACACCCTCTCTATCCAACCTTGTCAACGTTAACATAGAACACTGTAAGAAGTCATCCAAGTATGTACTTCCTGGACACCTCTATGTGCACGTCTCATGGGCCATCTCAAACTTAATTATTTCATTCTTCAAAACTTTCCTCATAAATACACAAAGGCAATGCTTATGCTAGAAAAAAAATATCTACCAAATATAGGACTACTACATTCAAAAATTAGTAATCTCTAGAGACTTGTAAGAAATTCAAAGACTTTTAGATCCCTCCCTAACAGCAGTGGAAACTCATTCCTGAGCTCTTAGAGCTCTCAACCCTAGAGCAGAACCTATCTTCTCCTATGTCTACAATTAGTTCACTAATATATTGAGTAATATGTTAGTTCTATTAGAACAATTCGTAAGTGGAGATTATGAGTGGCAAAAAGAAATGATCTTTTTGGTGACTTGGAAGATTATGGGAAGTCTTAAACCTGTGTATTTATTTCTACACATCTTCGGAAAACTTTTTTTTAAAAAATTATTCTTTTGACAAAGTTTAAGGGAAGAAAGAAAACAGATACAAAATGAAGGCTGAGATATCAAGCTTTACCCTGCTTTCAGATACCCACAGAGCATTTGCAGATCTAGGTAAAGAGTCACTGCTTTAGTGAAGGCAGCCTCTGTAAGTCTCTGTTACAGATTCTTATTATAAGGGACCTACATAATTTGAGTCTGTTAACAAACATAAAATGATTTGCACTTTGGAAAAACACTTATTTAAAAAAAAAGAAAACTTTTATCTTGTTTTGTTAAACAAAGATAATTGTTTTTTACACTATATCCCACCCTTCCTTTTTTTCTTTATTTTAGTGGAGCTAACCCAAACTAAGAGTTATCTGTTTTTCACTTTGGAAATTTTACAATGCTCAAGAAAAAGTTCTAAGATATGTAAAATATTTGAAAGTCTATTTTTTTTTCCTAATAGAGGTTCACTGTCCTTGTTAACCTCTATTAATCACATTTCTATATCTGTAAGAATGTTTAAGATAAATAGGAAGCTGTAAGCAGTAGCAGGGAGAAAGTCTTGCTCTGAAGTACTCAGATAACAGCTGGTCAATTGTTACCATGAAGGCAGGATTAAGTCTGTGGTAAGGGCTGCCTATGATGGGGGTTTCCCACCTAACCAAAACCAGACGGGTAAGCCATCAGGTATCTTACATTTCAAAGTCTGATATTCTTCCCTTTCTACACTTGAATTTCATAAAAGTTGAATAAGCTAATATTTATAAAGCATTAAAACAGTATGTGGCATACAGGGAGGGCTATACAAATTAAAATAAGCAATCAAGAGAAAATGTTTAGGAACTTTGTAAGGAGGCCTTCGCAAATGAATTTATATGTAATCTAGTGGCTCACAAAAATAAATAACTCTGACCTTTCCTTTACTTCCTGGGGAATTATGATGTCTAGCATCTAATAACAAAAAGCCATGAGGATGCAAAATTTCATTTTAAGAGTGCTGGGAACATAATATATGCTTCATAATCTTATTTGGAAAGGTACAGAAAAACAAAGACTTGCCAAAATAGATAATATTAAAGAGAGTAATAGGCAGTAGGTGCATAAACCAAGTAATTGGGTTTAGAAATAAGAGAACTGAAAGTTATCTATGAGGTTTACAATTCACAATACAAACAGAGGCACAATTTAAACTTAAAAATGACTAAGGAACAAGTGTTGATAAAGGACATATTTACTAAGTATGGCTGGTCACACATATTAGCTATGACACACAAATATATACACAACACATAATAGATCCACCTTGCCTTAAAATACATAGGTCTTCTTCTATATCATTGGGTTTGTCATGGGAAAAGAAAAAGAATTTCCAAGAAAATCTAAGTACAGTTTAATGGAAAATGATTAATCTACAAACAGTTAAGTAAATTAATATTGGCTTAGAAATCAAGAGACATTATGGATCTAAGAACATTACATATTATATGCATAAAATCTTTTTTTTTTTTTAATTTTTGATATTTAATTTTCAGGTTTTTTTTTGGCGGACACAACATCTTTGTTTTTGTGGTGCTGGGGATCAAACCCGGGCCGCACGCATGCCAGGCGAGCGCGCTACCGCTTGAGCCACATCCCCAGCCCTATGCATAAAATCTTAAGTCCAAAATATCAAGTGAATTTATTCAAGTCATATTTATTTTGCCCCTCAAAACAACAACAACAACCACCAAAAAAAATCCCTGATTTCCATGTTCCTTGCCAGGTCCCCCATCCAAAACCAGTAAAGAAAAAAATTTAAGGAAATATTAAAACTGGGGAAAAGGACGGGCAGAAAGAAAAAGACCAAGGTACAACAGTAGAAACTGGTTTTCTTTGCTTTCTTCTCCACTGATTAAACTGTCATAAGTTATTACATCTTCTGAGGAAAAAGACCAATGGAGGACCAAGGAAGACGAACATTCACAGCTCAAAGTCTTAACTATCCTTTACTTTCATAAAACTAAGTGTGATCAGAAATAGTGACAATTTATAATAAGCTCTGTAATATAATACTATATCTTTTTTCTCTGATCAAAGACCAATTAAACTTGCTTTCTAATGTTTAACCCTCATTCTAGTCCTATCAGAGTCCTCCCACTTCCTCTCTTCACCTCTCATCAACTTCCACTTAGCAAAATGACATAATTTTCCTCCTTATAATAAACAGATGAAATGAGGATTCCATAAAAAAACATAGAAGTATCAATAAAAAATATAAACTTTCTAGAACTAAAGATAGCTGTTTTTTTTTAAAAAAAGGAGAAAATTCTTAAAAAATCATTCCCTTTATATTCTTATAAGCATTTTCCTGCTATAACTAATGATATTCAATGACCATTTCTTATGCTCAAAATCACTGGGGCCTATGCTTTGAATGCTTTCATTCAATTAGCAAAACTATTTTGTTAGGGTAAAGGTATGGGAAGTATTATTTTTAGAAGAATAACAAGCTTATCACAATATTCAATACATACTATCTGTCACACTTACCTTCTCACCACTTGAGTAGAAGAAATAACGCAATCGGACTATGTTACAGTGATCTAGCTTTCTCATGATCTGGAGTTCTCGATTCTGAAAAGAAAACACATGAAAATAATTTTTAAAGGACAACAATTATACATCATAATCACCAAGATGCTCCTGAAATAACATTAAACACCCTAAACAACAAGCTATGTATGTGCTATTAAAAAATACAGTCTGTACACCAGAACTGAACTGCAAACTATCTGTTACTAGTCCATGAACTATTTGTTACTGCTCAGCAATAAGATACAGAATTGAGAGTGTTTAAAATCTTTTATAGCAATTTGGCAGACTAAATTTTTATCTATGATTCTGATAATAAGAATTGAGGCCTGTATTCTATATTTTTAAAACTTTTACTTTTCTAGCAATTCATTTGTACTATATTTTGCAAAACTATCAGTCTGGTGAATTGGAAATTATAGAAACTGGTACTTTACCACATGTACCTTGGGAAGCACCAGTTTAGGATTTGTAAGAAATATTTGAAATGAGCTGCTGTTACTTATGTAAATTTTTTTTGCAACTATAATAAAAAATAAATCAAACTTTTCAAAAAACAAATTAAGCAGGGATCAAAGGAGACTCTTACGTGAAAGACTTATACAATGAAAACTACAGAACCCTAAAGAGAGAAATAGAAGAAGATCTTAGAAGATGGAAAAATATACCCTGTTCATGGATAGGCAGAACTAACATCATCAAAATGGCGATATTACCAAAAGTTCTCTATAGGTTTAATGCAATGCCAATCAAAATCCCAACGGCATTTCTTGTACAAATAGAGAAAGCAATCATGAAGTTCATATGGAAAAATAAACGACCCAGAATAGCAAAAACAATGCTAAGCAGGAAGTGTGAATCAGGCGGTATAGCGATACCAGACTTCAAACTATACTACAGAGCAATAGTAACAAAAACAGCATGGTACTGGTACCAAAACAGGCGGGTGGACCAATGGTACAGAATAGAGGACACAGAAACCAATCCACAAAACTACAACTACCTTATATTTGATAAAGGGGCTAAAAGCATGCAATGGAGGAAGGATAGCATCTTCAACAAATGGTGCTGGGAAAACTGGAAATCCATATGCAACAAAATGAAACTGAATCCCTTTCTCTCGCCATGCACAAAAGTGAATTCAAAATGGATCAAGGAGCTTGATATCAAATCAGAGACACGCCGTCTGATAGAAGAAAAAGTTGGCTACGATCTACATACTGTGGGGTCGGGCTCCAAATTCCTCAATAGGACACCCATAGCACAAAAGTTAATAACTAGAATCAACAAATGGGACTTACTCAAACTAAAAAGTTTTTTCTCAGCAAAAGAAACAATAAGAGAGGTAAATAGAGAGCCTACATCCTGGGAACAAATCTTTACTCCTCACACTTCAGATAGAGCCCTAATATCCAGAGTATACAAAGAACTCCAAAAATTAGACAATAAGAGAACAAACAACCCAATCAACAAATGGGCCAAGGACCTGAACAGACACTTCTCAGAGGAGGACATACAATCAATCAACAAGTACATGAAAAAATGCTCACCATCTCTAGCAGTCAGAGAAATGCAAATCAAAACCACCCTAAGATACCATCTCACTCCAGTTAGATTGGCAGCCATTATGAAGTCAAAGAACAACAAGTGCTGGCGAGGATGTGGGGAAAAGGGTACACTTGTACATTGCTGGTGGGACTGCAAATTGGTGCAGCCAATTTGGAAAGCAGTATGGAGATTTCTTGGAAAGCTGGGAATGGAGCCACCATTTGACCCAGCTATTCCCCTTCTCGGTCTATTCCCTAAAGACCTAAAAAGAGCATGCTACAGGGACACTGCTACATCGATGTTCATAGCAGCACACTTCACAATAGCAAGACTGTGGAACCAACCTAGATGCCATTCAATAGATGAATGGATAAAAAAAATGTGGCATTTATACACAATGGAGTATTACTCTGCATTAAAAAATGACAAAATCATAGAATTTACAGGGAAATGGATGGCATCAGAGCAGATTATGCTAAGTGAAGCTAGCCAATCCCTAAAAAACAAATGCCAAATGTCTTCTTTGATATAAGGAGAGTAACTAAGAACAGAGTAGGGTCGAAGAGCAGGAGAAGAAGATTAACATTAAATAGGGATGAGAGGTGGGAGGGAAAGGGAGAGAGAAGGGAAATTGCATGAAATGGAAGGAGACCCTCAGAGTTATACAAAAGTACATACAAGAGGAAGTGAGGGGAAAGGGAAAAATAATACAAGGGGGACAAATGAATGTCAGTAAAGGGGGCAGAGAGAGAAGAGGCGAGGGGAGGGGAGGGGAGGGGGGATAGTAGAGGATAGGAAAGGCAGCAGAACACAACAGACACTAGTATGGCAATATGTAAATCAATGGATGTGTAACTGATGTGATTCTGCAATCTGTATATGGGGTAAAAATGGGAGCTCATAACCCACTTGAATCAAAGTGTGAAATATGATATATCAAGAATTATGTAATGTTTTGAACAGCCAACAATAAAAAATTAAAAAAAAAAAAAGGAGACTCTTACAATCCTATTGTTTTCTGAGTTACAGTGGAAAAAAAAAAAAAAACTAGGAGTTAACTCCATGAAAGGGGCTCAGGTGCTAAGTTTTTAAAAAAGACATACACAGTCCTGACAGATTTATAGACCACACAAACTTTCTTTGGGAAAGTTCAAAGTTATGCTCACATTGCCTGAAAATAAAATATTAAATAATGTGATTTCTTAATATCTTATTCTACCGTAATAAATTAAGTAGATTATTAACAAAGAATATACATTCCAACAATATTCTAATGGCTGTTAAAAATACCAAAATGCCAACTACATGGCCAGAAAAATAACACTTTTTTTTTGTTATTATAGTAATTCAGAAAGTTTAAAAAAAAAAGAGGTATATGCCTGGGAATCTGGAAAGGAAATAGAATTACTGTCACATAAGAGGCCAAGAAAGAGTAAGGTGAGGATGGTTAGGGACCAATAAGCCAAAAAAGCAGAACTACCTTCAGCAGACTGGGCTCTAGTCTTTAGAAGACAGGAGCAGAAATAAGTGAATATTTTTTAAATAACCTTGAGAACTGGGTTTATATATGTAGTAACATTTAAAATTCTTAAAACACATCAATCTGTCATTCCATTACTTGTGACAAAATGCATAATTGAAGCAATAAACATATAGTAAGGAGACATAGCTGTCCCTATGATTACAGGGAATATTCACAGATGGATGGGGGAGAGTGTACCAAACTTTGTAGATGCTCAAGTTGTTTGTATAAAATAGAACAATACTTGCATATAACCTACACACATTTTTTGTACACTTTAAATCATCTCTAGATTGCATGATACTTAATACAATATAAACGCTAAGTAAACATATGTTGTAGTGTAGTGTTTAGAGAACACAGACAAGAAAAACAATCTGTGTATGTTCACTATAAATTCTGCCAATATTTTCAATCTGCAGTTGGTTGAATCCATGTATGTATAACCCACAGATGCATAGTATCAAACTGGATAGAAATAGCAAATAAGCATACAAAAAGATGCTCAATATCATTTTCCATCAGGAAATTCCAAGTTAGAACAATGAGACTGTACTACACACCTATTAAAATGTTGTTAATGTCCAAAAATATAAAGGCTAATGAAAATATGGAGCAACATAAATACTCTTCATTGCTAATGGGAATAAGAATTTGCACAGCTACTTTGGAAGACAATTTAACAGTTGCTTACATAAATACATATATTCTTACCATAAAATACAGCAATTGTGCTACTTGGATATTTACCCAAATGTGATAAAAACTTAGGTCCACAACAAAAACTTGCACAGAAATCTTTTAAAAAGCTTCATTGATGATTACGAACATTTAGAAGTAACTTATATGATCTTCAAGAAGTAAACAGATAAATAAACTATGATATATCCAAATAATGAAATATTACTCAACACTAAAAAAATGGGCTATCATTCCATGAAAAGTTATACAGGTACATTAAATGCATATTGCTAAGCAATAAAAGTCAATTTGAAGAATCTGAAAAGTATATACAGTATGATTCTAACAATGACCATCTATAAAAGTCAAACTGCGGCAGTAAAAAGATCAATGATAATTAGGGATTTTGAGGGAAGGCAAGATGAATAGGTAGAGCTCAGGAGATTTTCAGTTCATTGAAACTATTTTGTATACTACTGTAACAGTAGATAAATGTCATGATGCATTTACCAAAAAAAATAAATACATAAATAAACCATAGACTGTACCCTGCAAAGTAAATAATTGTGCAAACTCTAGACTTCAATTAGAACTATGTCAATATTGTTTTAGTGAATGTTAAAAATGTACTATACTAAGGAAAGACAATAATAATAAGGGAAGCAAGGTCAACAGTAAATGTAGCTTTTGTGAATTTTCTGTACTTTCGACTCATTTTTCTGTCAAACTAAAACTTCCCCCAAAAAAGCCCAAGAATATTTTAATTTGAAAATAAAAAATTTTAATAGGCAATGGGTTTTAATAGACATTAATCCCAAGAAGGAGTACAAATGGCTAATAAACACATTTAAAAATGTTCAACATAATTAGCATCAGAAAAAGCAAATCAAGATGACAATGAGACATCCCTTTCACATCCACTAAGACAGGTTTAAACAAAAAGTAGATAATAATCATCCAACAACAACTAAAAAATAAATATTTTAAAAAGGATAATAATAAATGTTTCCAAGGCTAGGGTTGTGGCTCAGTGGCAAAGCGCTTGCCTAGCATGTGTGAGGCACTTGGTTCGATTCTCAGCACCACATATAAATAAATTAATAAACAAAATAAAGGTCCATTGACAATTTAAGAAAATAGTTTTTAAAAAATAAGTGTTTCCAAAGATATAGAGAAAGTGCAGTGATCATACCCTGCTATGGAATTGTAAAACAGTACAGCTTTGGAAAAGAGATAAAAATTTCAAGATGTCAATCACAGAATCACCATAGGACCCAGAAATTCTACCCCT